ATCTAAAGTTATTGTAATGAATACATATTCATAATATGCTATAACTTGTATAATACATGAAAAATTTTGTGTTTCCCAAATACCCACCAGGTCATCTAGGATGTCAGTGCTTGAGTTACAATGCTCTAAAATGTATAGTATTATGCCAGGATTATGGCATTTGTGGCACAGATCAGAATAATCCCTAGTCATTTCCATTTATGTGGGGTCTTACTTAAATTTTCCTCTCTAAAGTTCAAGACTTTTCCTCAGAAGCAGATTTTGAGAATTACATCAAGTATCGGAAAAAAACCGCTCCTGTGCTCACTGCTACTGTATTTGACCATGATTTCAAAAACAGCAATGACAGTTTGCCACTTAAGAATAGTTTATACAAATACCTTATACTTTCAGGTTTTAGGCATTTAATGAGATACAGGGAATGTCCTCATTTTATAAATGGGAAAATTATAGCTTGCCCAGGTTCATAACTGCTGGTGTATAACAAAGCAGAGATTTGAATGCAGCTCCAACTTTTTAAATACCTACACTTTTAGGTACTGCATTATACTGGTGAGAAGATGATGATGTCAGCTGCTTTAAGGTCTTATATTTAGAATATAAAGCAGTAGGAACTTTAGTGAGGACATTCACTTTGACAGTCTACCTGGTCAGAGGAAGCTTCTAGTCCTACAAATGGTGGTTAAGAAAATAAGAATTTAACAAGGTCAAAAAGCTGGGTAGTGATATCTGTGACCTAGTTGAATAGTTCCTGAAATTTAAAGAGAAATTGTACCATTTTATAAGTTACAATTTCCTATCTATAAGATACTTAAACTTTTCAATGAGTTTATGTGTAATTGCCATTCTGACTTTGTAAGTCAAGTTTATAATAAAGCTGTTACTAAATAAAGCTGTTAGTAAAGTTAAGATAAAAAACCCACCCCTTGGGCCTCCCTGGTGGTGCAGGCAGTTGAGCGCCACACTGTGAAGCTGTCTGCAGCCTCTGCAGTGCAGGTTTGATCCTATCCGGCTGGCAAGAATCCCACATGGGGAAGCAGACCTCTCCTGTCTCCCCCGCTGCTCCCCTTAGCAGTGTATTTCATCAGTCTGCCTGTTCTGTTCCCTACTCTGTCTCTGGTGAATCCTCTTATCCCTTGCATCTCTGGCCTGTTCCCCAGCTCTTATATGCATAAATAAATAAATCTTTTTTAAAAAAGGAAAATATCTTTATAAAAAAAATTAAACACATCAACATACTAAAGAGGTGGGCTTTTGGATTATATCCATTTTTTACTAACCACATCTATCCATTCCTTTATTATATATAAAAAAGTTGATTTAGGGCCTCCCCGGTGGCGCAGCGATTGAGCACTGGGCTGCGAAGCTGTGAGCGGCCTCTGCAGCGCCGGTTCGATCCCCAGCTGCTCCCTGGCCACCGGGGGAGGGTCCAACATGGCGTGCAGACCTCGCCTGCCGCACCCACTGCTCCCCTCAGCAGTGTATTTCGTCAGTCTGTCTGTTCTGCTCCCTGCTCTGACTCTGGTGAATTCTCTCACCCTCCCGCGCTTCTGACTATACCCAATGCTTAAATAAATAAATAAATAAATAATAAATCTTAAAAAAAAAAAGTTGATTTACCAACAATTTAGCAATTTCAAATGGAATCGGTGAGATTATTCATCTGTCCCATCTTTCATTTCTTAGATAGTGAATTAAAGCAGGAGAATGAAAGGATCCTTAACTAAACTACTACATTCCCAGCAAGGACTTAAGCTGGGGAAAGGTGATTGTAGAAACACTGCCCTTGTCATATTACATGTTAAAATTGCACTGATGATGGGGGAAGTATATGGGATTTGTCATGTGAGCTGGGAGCCTGCTGTTATGGGTAGAGCAGAGACCTAAGCAACTCTTCAGCAGTCCCTAGAGTTTAATTGCTCTACCTCTAGTTCCTTTGCCCACATCCATCAAGAAATGAGGACAGAGAACGTTTTTCTCTCAGTTTATCAATTACCTGTTCTGATTGCCCATCTTTCCTTTCTGTGCTTTTTGTCCCCCCAAAAATAACTTGGCAGGAGTTGGAGGAGGGGAGGAGAGGTTCATCCCCATTGGGGGCTGGAGGAGAGAACTGCAGTGGTAACTGTGCATTCTCTGTGTTGCTGTTAAAGGTGTTTGGTATTTTGGAGGAGGCTAAAGAGCAGTACAATCTAGAAGACTATTCCGTCAGTCAGATAATGCTGGAACGAGTTTTCCTGGCTTTTGCTTCTAAAAAAGAACATCAGTAAATGAGGAAAAAAAAAAAAGGAACTATGGTTCGGTTCCAACCAGTGACCCTTATATCTTCCCTTCTGCCCTCAGATACATAGCGGCCTTTCTTGTGTGGTATATATCCTGCTGTAAATATGTTTATACAATAAACAGTTCCCCCCGAAAGACCACGTTTCCCCTCTCTGTGCAGGGTTTTCCCAGATGGGGGCTTTTCTCCTCCCTCTCCCAGAAGGCGTTTGCAGGCCCTGGTGCCTGCACCTATAGAATTTCCCTGCAACCCCCCTCTCTCCAGCCCCAGACTAGGGGGCAGCCACTGAATAACCTTAAATTTCCCGCCACTAGAGACTGGGCCTGCAGAGGGTGGCCCAGACACGTAAGAGGGGAACTTAGGAGGTTGAAAATTTTGGGGTCAGCCAGTCGGGTCCAGAGAGAAGAACCTGGGGAGCAAGTGAAGGGGCACCAAGATAAAGGTGCTGGACATTCGCGAAGAAGGGGTGGACAAGGCCCAAGCTCTGAAGAGCCTTTGGGGTTCAGTGGGATGGGGCCTGTGTAGGGAAAGGAGCCGGCATGTGCAGGAACGTGCGGGCACTAGAGGCGTGCTGGGGCGGGGCTGCCGGGGCCTTGCTCGAGGGCACGTGCGCGGGGCCGCAGCTCAGGGTTCTTCTCCCCCAGGTTCTTGGTGACCCACGAGGCCGAGGTGGCAAACCTGCCGGGGGAGGGGGAGAGGCGGGCGGTTGGGGAGGGCGTTGGACTGAGGAGCGGGCTGTGTGGGCGTTAGTCCCTGTGCAGCAGAGGTTGGTGGTGGAGGTGAGGCTTGAGCGGTGAGTTTCCGAATTTCTCTGCCTTTTCCCTACTGGGGTGCAACCCAGATGAGAAAGCGACCCGCAAAGCAGAGCACAGTCATACAATGTAAGAGATTCTCTGCACCCCAAACACATAGGCACACAAACTAGATGAAATTAAGCAAAATACACTCTTAGGAATTTAACTCTGGTTATGCAAAGTATTTGAAAGTAAAGACTTTGGAGGACTTTGGTTCTAACCCTCCCAGTCCAGAGTTCGTTTACCGTTTGGCTGTTGTGGGTACCTGGGTGGCTGTTTGGCCGTGATAGACTACCACAGACTGGTGACTTATATATCCTTGAAATAAATTTCTCACAGTTCCCAGAGGCTGGGAAATCCAGTATCAAAGCACCAGTAGATTCAGTGGGTGGGAAGAGCCTGCTCCCTGGTTGGTTGACAACAGTCTTCTCCTGAGTCCTCACGGTGGACTAACTCCCTGAAGCCGTGTTAGGAGGGCAATTATCCCATTCATCAGGGCTGTACCCCCAAGAGCTATAATTATCCACCAAAGGCCCCACCTTCTAATATCCCATTGGAGGTTAGCAGTTCACAATGTTTGAACTACTTGCACCAGTCTGGGTAGGCGAGTGAGGGTAATAATTAAATTGTAGAACACAGTAAATGTTCATTAAATAGCAAAGAAGGGAAGCTAAGTGCTAATGTGAGGTTTTGTTTTTCTCTGTTAAAGCAAAATTGCAATGGACAAAGTTAAACAGTTGAGGAAGATTTTATACAAGGCTACTAGACTAGGGAACTCAGAACTTAGTCTGAGCTCTGCTGAGGCAAAGGGTAGGAAGGTTTTACCTGGCTGGGATGAGCTAGTGGAAAGTGCTGGGAGAGTAAAGGGTGGAGGTTGGGCAAATTGAGTTCTTTCTTGAGTTTGCAAGTGTTTTTCTGTGTGATAAGATCATCTGTGTCTGCTAATCGGTGCATCTGGACTAGTCCCTGCCCTCACAGAGACTGAGATAAGGATACTCTCTTCCTTCTCTTCCTTGATGATTACATATGGAAGGATGACTCCTTGGTCCTTGAGGAAGACATTTTTGGGGGGTTGTAAAACAGAAAGAGGTTTTTGAAAAGAAATTGTAGTAAAAATACTCTGGTGACTCTAAATCTCATTCTAATAGTTCAATACTGTAAACAATGTAATTGCTTAATGTTCAATAATTATTCAAGTGTTCTTTTGGACCCACACTTCAGTAGGTTGCCCTGAAAGTTTTCAGACGTTAGGTTCTTGTACCCGCACCTACACTGCCCCAGGGTACATCCAAGTTCTTCAGGATTGGAGTGAGAGTGCATTTAGTATTAAGAACAGGATGTCCAAAGGACCTCCGTGGTGGCACAAGGGCTTAAGACGCAGCACTATGAAGCTATCTGCAGCCTCTGCAACACGAGCTTTATCCCCTGCCCCGGCCAGGGAGGTGACCCACATGGCGCAGCAGACCTCTCCTATCTCACGTGCTGCTCCCCTCAGCAGTGTATTTCAGTAGATCTGCCTGTTCTGCTCCCCACTCTGTCTCCAGTGAATCCTCTTACCCCCCCAATCTCTGGCCTGCATCCCAGTTCTTGTATGCAAAAATAAATAAATCTTTAAAAAAAAAAAACCAGGATGTCCAAGATGTGTTGATTTTCTGACCAGGCTCTTTTGGAGTCAGACCACTTCTGCACTAAGAACCCCCAGTACTGTTTGGCAGATAGCAAAGGAAATAGGATGACAAGACCCTGAGAAGCTCAGCTTCTCTTTGTTCATTATTTCAAATCTATTGTTTTACTGTTGAAAGAGAAACTAAAATAACTGTCCTTGATCTTTTTAGGCTGATGTGTTGCTCTGGCTTGCTCTTTCCCCCCAAAAGATTGGGGAATGGGACACAAAATCATACAGAAGTGAAAAATTATTGTCACTATTTCAAAATATTACCACTAGAAGTGCAAGAGGAAAATGTTCTTGGACCCTGCATCAGGCAGTTTTTTCCTTCACCGTTTATTCTTACCAGCCCCCAGTCTAAAGAAGAAATTCAAAAAATGATACAAGTGCATTATATAGAACATAAATCTTATAGACAGACAAAATTCTAAGAATTCGAAGCCTCTCACCTTCTGCCACCTGAGAGACAATCGGTGAATATTCTGGCCATTTTCTTTTCTGCACCTATACTAACACATATTGTGTAATGACCAAAATTTATCACATAAAAAGGAATTTTTTCCTTTAACCATATATCATCTTCCCATGGATGTACAGTGATTATCCTTTTCTTTGACACAGGTCAATAGGATTTCATTGATAAGATTGCCATTATCTCTATAATCGTTCTATTTCACTTTATTACAATTTTCTGATGAACATCTTTCTGCACAATTTGTTTTGCTGTGGTTCTGCTTTATGAAATTTGTCTCTATGGTCTTTTTCTCTCTTTAAGATATTTAATTGTTAATGTATAGACAAGTATTGAGTGTCTTTTTCAAATACAGTGAGGGGTAATTTTGTCTCTGATGTGAAACTCCCTCCCACTCTTCTAATGAAAAATTCAAGAAAAAGAATGGCAAAATTGCAGAGTTGGAAGGCTTGTGAATTTTAAATTGATGCTAAAGTCCTAAAATAGAGCCTACCCTTTTTCACCTGGATTTCAGCTCTCTTTCTGGTAGCCCCAAGAATTTAAGTCAGGTGTTCAAAATGACACAGTTAGGATAGAGCTGGGAAATCAACAGCCTGACTTCAGAATAACCCATCTTTCCTCCCACACCATGAAGGACTTTATTTGTTCTGTTTCTCATTGTACACCTCCGCTCAACATGGCATATGTTAGGTATTAAGAAATATCCACTAAGTGTAAGAAAGATATTTATTTAATTATATTTAATTGAATTACTTTAAGATTCACTGTTACTAATGGAGGTATTTCTAGGCTTCCAAATTATTGAGTGGCATTTTGCACCTGTAGTTCTGATGTGATTTTTTTTTTTTTTACATGCTGTTTCTTTTCTTTTCTTTTTTTTTTTTTTGGTCCTGCTGCTGATTTGGTTTTTTTTTTTTTTTTTAAGTTTTGACATTCTCTCTTTTTTTTAAAGCTTTATTTATTCATGCAAGCACTGGGTACAGTCAGAAGCATGGGAGGGTGAGAGAATTCACCAGAGCCAGAGCAGGGAACAGAACAGGCAGAGTGACGAAATACACTGCTGAGGGGAGCAGCGGGCGCGGCTGGAGAAGTCTGTCGTGCCATGTGGGACCCTCGCCAGTGCCCGGGGATCGAACCGGTGCTGCAGAGGCCACGGGCAGCTTCACAGCCCAGCGCTCAACAGCTGCGCCACCAGGGGAGACCCTGATTTGTTTTTTGTTGTGTCCTAATTTGTATTTTGGTAAGTAATGGGAGAGCTGCTGGTCAAATTTGCTACTAGAAGTTTACATCAGTAACTCATTGATATTTTGTACAGCTGGAGAAGCTCAATAAATGTCAATAAATTAAAAATCTAGGAATAAACAACTTCTCAAATATTTCAAATCTTTTTAGTTCTTGTTGTCATCCTTTAAACTTGGTTAGAAAATTAAGTAATTCAATTTTTGAAGTAATTTTCTTATCTAAATGTTATATTTTATCACATATTAATTTCCCTTTTAAAAATTCTTACTCCATATAGAGTTGAACTTCCACGTTTTTTTAGGAGAATGGATTTGTCCAGCTTCAACAAATTTATGGTTCTTCTCTGGAAGAATTTCATATTAAAGGTAAGCTGAGCTACCTGTAAGATTTTTCAACAGTTAAGAAGCTACAACAGGAAAATTCTGAAGCCTGATCACAATTTATACTGTTTTATTGTTCTCAGTTTTAGGGTTGGAAGTATCTCTTTGAAATATGAAGAGCCCTCACATAGTGAAATATTGTAGAACACATGTGGAAAGGAAAAAGAAAGTTCAGAAATCTGCTGTTCTTATAGAAAAAGGCTGTTCTTTTGGCCATCAGTCCATCTTCATTTTTGAAGTGTCTGTTCATATAAAATAATTAGCCCTTTGCAAAATTAGGGAACTCTAGGACTATTAACACAATCTTTTTTCTTTTCCTTTCATCTCCTAGAGACGGCGACCCGTTGTTACATTTGTGGAAATCATCCTCACGTTATTATTTGCTGGGACACTTTTGTTAACACGCAGATTTATGGTGATACGGATGTATGGACCTTTCATTTATTCCCCTCTGTCCCTCTCGATGGTGCCTGAATTTTTTGGAGACTTCTTTCCTTCTAAGCCTATGGAATTGGCTTTTGTGCCTTTCAAAAGTGTTGTGGTGAAGAGTATTGTTGAAACAGTGAAAAAAGATTTACAACACAATTTTAAAGGTTAGAAATAAGGTTTTGTGAAAAAGCATTTTTTAATTGTTTCAAAGAATACACACTTATAATCTTTTAACTGGGTATTAATCTCCCAACTATAACATTGTAGGATATCCCCATAACCACATAGTAACCTTGTAAGTATCATATTACAGACTTGGTTAAACATGAAAGTTAAAGTCATATAAAATATTTTCTAAATCCTAAAACAAAAATATTAATATTTAAAAATTAAATGATTCATTTTTATTGTTCTAGGTTATGATCCAATTCTGTGATACTAAGCCTTTCTTGTCTCTTGTTGCTTCTTGAACCTGGGTGTTCTTGTGTGGGTGTGTGAGGGTGTGAAAGGCACAGCACAGTATGAGCCCTCATTCTGGATGCACACTTGGTGGTCAGTTATTCAAACATGTGTGTGTAAAAATGTTTCACAAGTCATATTTGAGAACCTTAGAGAGGACTCAAGCTATGAAGAATTCATTTTAAAATTCCAAATTCTGGATTTACTCTCACATTGTCAACTCAATTTCTCAACCTCTTTCTCCTAGAGAGAAAATTGTCAGAGGATTGGCCATCCCCCTAGCACCCCTTCGCTTTACACACATACAGAATTTCAGTATTGTGTTTTTTCAGTCTTTTTTTGGCCTTTGAGGGATTTGAAAGCCTTTCAGAGTTGATGCCATCTCAAAGCATTTATTAAAAAAAAAAAAAAGACAACTGCAGAAGCAGAAAAATGCAAAATTATCAACAATTTTTAAAGTGTACAACACAAATATCCCAATAAATTTAGTCTATTACACACTACTTTTAGTTACCCAAACTTTTATAATTACACTGGATTTCTTCTTTGATGGTATTAGGATTTTTTTGATATGCATGGCTTCTGAACATTTGAAATTTTGTTATCTGTTTTTGATTTCTGTTTTAATTTCCTTGAATCAGAGAGGATATTCTACATATTTTGGTTCCCAGCACATGGCAGGGGTTCTTCTGAGTTGATGAGTGATTTATAGAGGAAGAGCATCAGCGGCTGAATATAAATTGGACATATGTAATAACACAAACCAGGAGATGTCTGGTACTTCTACTGATGAAAGCTGTCAGCCTTGGCAATGCTGCTTGCATTGGAGCAGTGGGGTTCGCTGTATCTTTTAGTCTAGTGTCTGCCTCAAGTACATGTCCTGGAGGCATTTTTGTAAATAACCAGTTACCTCCCAGGCAAAATGTTGACCCAGGTAGACAGGAATCAGAGTCAGCTCCAGAATCCATGACTTCATCCTTTTCTTCTTTTAGGCCAGACCTTTTGTTCTACGAACACTGTAGAAGTGACTCATTTTTAGGCAACTGTGAAGGTAATGCCCAACCACCACATCCATATTAATGCAGATATCTTAGAGGATGAAAATTCAGGTGTTCCATCATTTTCCTGAAAGTACAGAAAAGATGCGTCTAGGACAAAGGCTAATTTAGTGTGTGATTTTATTACTGTTATAGATGTACGTGCAGAAAATGAGCAGGACAAAAGGCAACAGAGGAAACTGATTTTATGGTAGTCTTTGTGAGATTAAATCAGTGATAGCCAGGAGCCTAGGCGACAAGTGTAACAAGAGTCGAGAAGAGTATGCCTTGTGAATGGGAACTTTCACAACTCCCAAAATGTTTATGTACTCCACAAATCCATCAATTTGTTAAGCCAATGTTTGAGCAGCAGTGTTCTGAAATTTATAACATTTGATAGCCTTTCATCCATGAAGAGTGGTTTCCCATCTTAAAGACAGGTAGGATTGTTAAATATTTCATCTTTTGTGATCAACTCACTCATTAGATTTTTCTCTACTTATAGTCAAAGGTTTTTCTTCAGAAAAAGATTTTGAAGATTACGTTAAGAAGGAGAAAAATGCTAGAAAAGTGATGGCTGCTTTTATTTTTGACCATGAGTTCGAAAACAGCCATGATCCCCTGCCACTTAAGGTAAGAAAGTTCTATGCCGAAACATCATAATTATTCTTCTAGTTTCCAGAGATTTAACAAGGTAGAGACGCCGGTATTGGAGAGACTGTGCTTACCCAAGATCATACTGCATGTACTTAGTACATCAGGGGTTTCAGTTCAGATCTAATTAACTCAGTGTCGGTTTCCTTATTCAGCTCGTGCTTTATTAAGCTGATGAGGAAGGCACTTGATTTATTACCTACCAGCCTTCTATTTATAAATTGGAATCATGGGGCTCACTGACAGTTAAGGATGTTACCTTTGCCACTCTGCCTGATGTGGCAGCACTATCCTGCCCTGCACGTGGTCGTGAACTGGAGGAACGTTTCCTAGGTGAACGTTTCCTATACCCAAATACCCGATGTGATCAAGCTGATGCACCTTCACCAGCATGGAGCACAACACAAAAACTTTCCGCTTTCTTCTGAATGCATCTCATCCTTTCTCTCCTAGATTTAAATCTAGGCTAGAAAGCAAAGGTTTAGCCAGATCTAAATCTAGAATATAATGCTAAGGTTTACCCAGGCTGAATTGGAATTAAGATATATGCAGACACTGAGGATAATTCTAGTAACAGCCTCCCCATCCCTCACCCCTGCCCCAGAAGAAGAGGCAAGGACAGACAAGGAGAGACAAGGACAATGCTTTGAACATTGTAATGAATGTGGTGGCTCTGGATTTGAGGAAATAACCAACGGTTGGTGTAGATATGGGCCTGGAGCGCAAATCCTGCATTTGCTATGCAGATGGTTGTCAAAGAAATGAAATTAAGGGATGCCACTGGTTTTAAGTATGTAATAAGTACCTTTTCACTCTGTCCCAACATTCTCTTATGCCTTTCATGTGTGTCATCTTCCCTCAGGTTACTGACCCAATGTCCACTGATGCAGATGTTGGCTCAACTGTATGTAGAGCCGGAACAGAATGTCCCTAGTGCAGCTTCAAATGTCACCTCTTCTGCCTTGTATAATGTCCCTTGTGCTATCGCCTGTCACTTAGCTTATTCTCACTTATCCTTAAGGTCGTTGCTTTTATTCACTTTACATAGCCACACCCTCTGCTTTCCTCCTCCCTGTTCTCATCAACACACCTGTTTCTATCACTGAATTTACTGTAATGTAAATATGTTTGTTTGCTTGTTTTGTAAATGTTTCTTTGACTAGAATTTGAGGAACAGGGGCTACATTTTAATTCTTAAATGTGTAATAAGTGCCTGCCACTTTTTGTCTTGATAATTGAGTGTCTGAATGTTTACCTAGACTGGTGGCATCTGCCTACCTCTCCTGCCCTTACTCTTTGCTCTGGTCTGACCCTTCTGTCCTGGACCATTTGATGTGTTGTCCCTGTTAGGCCAGCATAACATACTCAGTTCTCCACAATCAGTAATATCAAATTATGCAACACTTAACATTTTGCATTTTATCACATTCCTCCTTTGTGCTCACGTGGGATTCTTTCTTATGTTACAATCACTTTTTGGAGAGATTTTCACCACAGGGCACTTGGCTGGCTTAACAGAAAGAGAAATTAATACCACCTTTTTGGTTTGCATGCCTGTTGTCTATTTAGGGAAAACTCCATTCATAATGCTGTGTAAGTTGCCACCATGTTTGCTCTCCTTTACGCACCTTTGCTCTCTTCCTCATGTTCCGGATTCACCCTGGTTCTCATCAGTTGGCCTCAACCCCATACATTTGCAATTGTACTTTAGCTTTCTTTTATTTCTCATTCTTGCTTAGTCATTTTTTGTTTATAGTTATCATTTGTTTCTTATTGCTCTTTGTAGGTCAAATATTATATGCGTCTTAGTAATTTCCAAAGGAACATGCATGTGAACTTTTTACGACCTGAAGGCTGGATGACAAATACTCTCTATCCAACTTCTTTTATTCCGGGACCCAGAAATATAGATGAGACAGGGGGAAGTCCAGGTAAGCACATCTTTGATCACACTTACCTTAATAGCCTAGTTGTATGTAGGAGCCATCACATAATTACACTTATGTAGCTTTAACTTTGTGGTAAAATTTTTATGACTCACTGTGATGCTGATTTTTTCATTTAAAATGTTCAGTGTGGGCCTCCCTGGTGGCGCAGTGGTTGAGCGCTGGGTTGCGAAGCTGCCCACAGCCTCTGCAGCGCCGGTTCAATCCCCGGCCTCCGGGCGAGGATCACACATGGCGCGCAGACCTCTCCTGCCGCCCGTTGCTCCCCTCAGCAGTGTACTTTGTCCGTTTGCCTGTTCTGCTCCTCGCTCTGGCTCTGGTGAATTCTCTCACCCTCCAGCACTTCTGACTGTACCCAGTGCTTGTATAAATAAATAAATAATTCTTTTAAAAACAAAAGATTTATTTTTATTTATACAAGAGCTGGGGTACAGGCCAGAGTCGCGGGAGGATGAGAGGATTCACCAGAGACAGAGTGGGGAGCAGAACAGGCAGGCGGACCGAAAACACTGCTGAGGGGAGCAGCGGGCGAGACAGGAGAGGTCTGCTGTGCCATGTGGGATTCTTGCCTGCCGGCCGGAATTCAACCCATACTATAGAAGCTGTGGACAGCTTCACAGTGCGGTGCTCAACTGCCTGCGCCACCAGGGAGGCCCCTAAGTATTGCTTTTGAGGTAAATAAATTTTAGCAAGCAGGCAAATTCAAAATATAGAATCTGCAAATAACTCCTATGTTCATAGCAGTGTTATACATAATAACCAAGACATTGAACCAACTTAAATGTCTACTGACAGGTGACTGCATAAAAATTTGTGGAATATGTTCTCAATGGGAATACAACTCAGGTACTTTAAAAGATGAGGTAGTGCTTTTTGGGACCAACAGATTTGAGGTGCTTATGCTAAGTGAAATGATAGACACTTCCTGATGTCCTCCCTTATTTGCAGAATGTTAATAATCAGAACAAACTGGCAGAACAATAAGTCTCAGGCTCTGTGAATAATATTCTGTTACCAGAGGGAATGGGAGTGAGGAGAAGAAGTTGGGGGGAAGGTGATACACACTGGTGTTTCAGTGGAGGGTGAGTGAGGCACACTCACATATGGGGATGTGAAGTTGTACTCCCCAAATAATACAGTTATGTAAGCTGGTGGCAAATCAATAAAAATAGAAATTTTGTTTAAAAAGATGCAAAATTGAGAATTACAGATAATGAGGATTTATTGTACAGGAAAAGCAATAAGAATAACTGACATTTCAATAGAAACAACAGAAGCAAGTCCACAATGGAAAATACATAAAATTCTGATAAAGAGAAAACATCAACCTACAATTGTATATTCATTATAAAAACATCATTTGATAATGAAGGTAAAAATTAATTTTCAGATAAATGAAAGCTAAAATTCTTGCTAGCAGGGAAGAATTATAAGAAATGCTATGGGAGATTTTATTTTATATATTTTTTACATCATTTTTCATTTTTGCACAATGTATGCATTTTCATCTTGGTTATTGTCCCCATACAATTTCCACACACTTATGGGAGATTTTTTTTTTAAAGAGAAGTAATAAAACTCCTATATAAAGAAAGGAGAGAAAAACTGAAAATGGTAAATACATGTGTACATATAAAATAATGCATTTTTATTAATTTCTTTAAAAACCTGTTAAAAACATTCACTATTAAATCAAAGTTAATAGCTATCATGGGGATTATTATATATGTTGAGTTAATATATAACCAAAACTAGCACAAAAAAGGAATGGGATATATTCATTATGTAATAGGGAAGATGGAATATTTTGAACATAATTGAAGAAGTTCAAGAGGTAGGTAAAAGGGACTGAGATGGATTATAAATGATGTACTAATAAACTAAAACACAACATTGTAGATCACTCGATTAAATGATTATACAACCTATATAAAGGGCAGATGTTGTCAGACTGGATAGAAAACAATTGAGTAGTATGGTTTATAAGTGATACATTATAAACACTAAAAAAATTGAAAAAGAATGAAAATATATACCATGTAAACACTGATCATCAGAAATATATCATGACATTATTAATATCAGAAAGCTAGATACCAATGTAAGGAATTTTACCAGGTATAAAAAGAAATTTCAGCATGATAAGATTGAGTCAGTTGATCAGGAAGATATTAAAATCATGTATATATAACTATATATGCATATATGCACATAACAGCTTCAAATTGTATGATACAAAATTAATAGATTTAGATGAAGTAGAAAACATAATCATAAGGGATTTCAACACTCAGAAACTATGAGTATCAAGAAAAATAGCAAATTGAGTTTTTAAAACACTGTAGTTCAAATTGACTTATTGATGTATATGTATATGCAGTATACCCAGTCACTACAAAAATATACATTCCTTTTAAGTGCACATAGACATAACACATCATAACACCATAAGTAGGCACTTAAATTAATGCCAACTTAGTTCATGATTGTAAACCTTCGTGTTAAAGCTCAAGTCATTAAACTTCTACCACAAAATTTGTAAGACTACCTTCATGTGACTGTGGGGTAGGCGGTAATTTGTTAGGACACAGAAGGTACTTACCATTAAAAAAATATGTTGAACTTTATTAAAATCAAATAGTTCTGCTCATATGAAAGACACTGTTAAAAACAAAAAGGCACCATTAAGAAGGCAGAATGTCACACAAAAGTTATCACATAAAAGTCTGTAAAGGAGTCACATAGGTTAATAGGACAAAGATTTTTGGTGTCATTGCAGTGTTAGGTTTCCATAAAAGCTTGTGTTTTTTGGAAATTTTGGACTTGTGTTTGCTTTTAATGTATACAATGAGAAGCAGTTTGCATAGTGTCAGAGATCCAAAGACATGCTAAGTATGATCTTTACCTGTCCAACAATTCTTTCAATTCTCATTCTGTTGGTTAAAGTTGAAGAAAGCAGTTCTATAATTTCATGCAGCATTTTACTGTGGTATGCTGGGAATTAGGATCCTTTAACAAAGTACTCATGTATGATAATTGCTTTATAAAATGGACCGATAATAATTGCTCTGTAAAATGGAGACTATGAGAAGCATCTCATTATGACAAGTTTGTTGTTTGTCTTTGATATGCTTTCAGTGACTTTTCTCTGGGTACATCTGTTCAACTGTTTTTTTCATTGTTCTTAGCAATCCTTGTTTTCTCATCTAGGGTACTACACAGAGGGGTTCCTGCTGCTGCAACATACATTGGATCAGGCCATCATGAAATATCATAATCTAGTTGCTGCAGAAAAACTGTTGAACGAAGTCACTGTTTATGTTCAGAGATTTCCATACCCAATGTATGATCATGACTACTTCTTTAACTTGTTTGATACTTACATCCCTCTAGTGATATTATTTATCTTCTGTGTGAATTATCTTACCCTTGTTCAAGCCATTGTGTGGGAAAAGGAAAACCGACTGAAGGTAATGCTACTTTTCTTATTATAGAAAGAGCTTCTGTAGAAAATGTTGGGTTTGCAGGGTAAATTTTATAGCAGATTGGATTTTTTCTGCTCACTCACCTTTGGTAGATGATTATATTTTAATTCTAAGCAGTCAAAAAGTGAGCGGTAACCTTTAGGAAATTTTCTAAAATCTTGTTTTTATTGGAATTCTTGTGTTTTAGTTTTATCTCTAGAAGGAGGTTTCACAAAAACATTAGATAGAATTTAAATGCTAAATGCGGGCCTCCCTGGTGGCGCAGCGGTTGAGCGCTGGGTTGCAAAGCTGCCCGCAGCCTCTGCAGCACTGGTTCGATCCCCAGCTGCTCCCCAGCCACCAGAGGAGGGTCCCACATGGCGCACAGACCTCTCCCGCTGCTCCCCTCAGCAGTGTACTTCGGTGCTTCTGCCTGCTCTGCTCCCTGCTCTGGTTCTGGTGAATTCTCTCACCCTCCCGCGCTTCTGACTGTACCCAGTGCTTGTATAAATAAGTAAATAAATCTTAAAAATAAATAAATAAATAAAATATTAAAAATTAATTAATTAAATAAATAAATGCTAAATGCCCTAAATTCTCCTTGGATTTAGGTGTGCTACAAAGAAATAATTGACAAGACTTGAGGAAGATAAAATTCAGATTCAATTTACATTCAAAATTTAGATAAAATTCAGTTTTAAGACTATGAATTTGTGATTTTTTTTTTTGCCATTTTCTGATTTCTGATTTTTTTTTCTAAATGACTCTTAAAGTCTCCTCCAGAATTGTTTCTTGGTTGAGGTTATGTTATCTTATGGCCAGAAGTTTTATAGTTCAAATACCAGTTATCACTCCTGTAACCAAAGATTCATTTGATATGAATTTATTTTTGATTTATTAATTGCCTGATTTGCACTTCAGCCTATCTGTGTCTTTATATGCCAAGATTCTGTTGAGGATTTTTGCATCCAGTCCTATATAGTTTTCTTTTTATATACTGTCTTTGTCTTATTTGCAGATCAGGGTACTCTTTGCCTCATAAGGACTGTTTGAAGTATTACTGTCTTAAAAATATTTAGTCTCTGATCCATGAAAATGGTGTACCTTTCTTAGAATTAGGGTTTCTTTAGTTTTTCTCAGCAATAATTTCTAGTGTTCACTTGACATTCTGAACCCCAGTTTCCTTCTCTGCAAATTAGACATGATCATTTTTATTATTTAACACATTTTAATTGTAGTAGAAATAAACTAGATAATACTTGTGAGAACATTTTGTGTAATTATATTGCTTTACATGATATTTTATTTGTGTTAACACTCCAAAGGAATACCAGCTCATGATAGGACTCAGTAACTGGATGCTCTGGGCCGCCTATTTCTTCACATTCCTCTCTCTGTATGCAATCATCATCCTTTTGCTATGCATAATTTTCTTTGCCAAGGTAAGTGTCTATTTCACTGCAACATTCTGTAAATACACTTGAAGGGACAACATAGAAGCATGGTGTGGTGTTGACCTGCTGGATTCAGGTTGCCAGGGAATGAAAATGTGCTTTTGTTGATGCCACTCTAAAAACCCAGAGCTGCTTAGTCTCATGACAGACTCAACTTCATCCAAAGATGTGGGACCTCTGTAGTTAATGAACTGTTTATACTCCATGCCCCTGAGCAATATTATCCATTTCACTAGAGCTGTTAAGATATTTAAAGATATTTAATTTCTCTTCTTTCATTTTGCTCTGATAATACTTAGAGGACAACTAAACCGACTTCCTGATTGCTTTCCTAGTTGGAACCTAAGTCAGTCATCCAGTACAGTGACCCATCTCTTGTCTTCATCTTTTTGCTGTGTTTTGCAATTGCCACGATATTCTTTAGCTTCATGGTTAGCACATTCTTCAATAAAGGTGAGTCTAAAATTCCTTCTGAGAAAGATTCTCAGTGCCTTCAAATTTACTGGTGCATTAGCATTGGTTTAACACAGTTTTCTTATGCTTTTAATACATGTAAGTATCTGCCATAATATATCCTCTTTTATTCCTTCCATTGGTTAATTGTGCCTTTTCTTTTTTTCTTGACCAGTTTCATAACAAGTTTATTAGCAATCAGTGCCAAATATTTTTAATGTGCTGGTAAACAAAACAGACAAGTTTTTATTCTAGAAGTGCTTATTTTAGTAAACTCTTATAATAAAGATACTTGTGGCTTTTAGATATGACTTAAACTAATTATTTAATTTCCTTCCTATTTGCAGTAAATTTTGCTGTTGCTATTGGATGTTTCCTTTTTCTTGTCACCTACTTTCCAGCTGACACTGTTTCTTCAAACTATGCACAGATGACTCTCTCCCAGAAGCTGGCTTCCTGTCTCATCTCAAATGTCGCAATGTCACTGGGAGCTAGATTCCTAGTCAGGGCAGAACAAGAGAGTAAGTATTTACTTTGTAGATGTTGCTGTGTCCTCACAGGATATTCAGAGTTTTAATATTGCTCAATAACATTAAACCGTTCTTTAAAAATTATACTGCCTTACACCTCCACCTACAGTGCTGAGTACTTCCAGTCTTTCTAAAAATTTTACTGCATGTCTATTAGGGTCTCCCTATCCCATCTGGAACTGCCACCCACTATTTAGTGACACAGATCCTACTTTTCAGTGGTGATATTTTTATAAAATTATATATTCCATTGAACAGGTAGTATGAGGAGGGGTGGAGAGAAAAGTGCCATTACCTTAACCCATAGAGCTGCTTATTATTTTTCTTAGATATTTTCCTGAATTTTCACTATATTTTATTTTGTTTCATTAATAATTATTTTTGTGGCATAGTAGGAGGCATCTTATATATTACTTGTGCAGGTATCCTAAGTACTTAATGCTATAAGAAAGTAGCTGAGTATAGTAGTGAACTCCAGAGAGTATTAACACATTATTTTCTTCACTTAAATTGTAATGCAGAAAGATAGCTGTTTTAGGCTCATTTGGCGACTAAATTAAATGTATCTTGTTAACTCTTAGAAGTTGGACTTAAATGGAGTAACATCTTCACACCAACCAGTATGGACAGCTTTGTCTTTGCCTATATACTGGGAATGTTTTTATTAGATGCTATCTTGTATGGCTTTGTGGCCTGGTATATTGAAGCTGTGTTTCCTGGAGAGTATGGTGTGCCCAAGCCATGGAACTTCTTCTTGCTGGTGAGTTGTAATGTTTCCATTATGAAAAGACGCAACACCATTCACTGTTTTATGAAATCTATCATGAGTTATTTTTACACTAAATTTAATCAGTAGAGCAGATGATTAAATCTTTCTAATTACTCTGTTCACACTAACTTATAAGTATCAGTAGTCTGTAGGTCATGGCCTGCCACCCCAAACTTTACAAATCGTGAAGAACCTGTCACTTTTGCAAACAAGTGTTTCATTGAGGCTTGATATCCAGCATAAAGAAATTACGTAAGATACGTCCATAAATGCAAATAAGAGAAGGTTTAGTCATACCACCCTCAAAGGTTTAGTCTGACCACCCACAAGCAGCTTTATTTCCTTTGTCAACCCACATTTCTTAGGACCATCGCAAACTGGGGAACTTGAACATCCTGCTCCCCTTCTCAATATTTTCCCTGATTATCACTCAGACAGAGCGATACACTACTGTTTGCTCTGACCTCATTTTGGAGTGATTGCCCTTCCTGAACAATTATGATTTTAATAGAGTAGTCTCTTATGCCTTGAAGATTCAAATAATAACCAGTTAGTTCTAGCAGTTCATCCCAAGAAACTTTCAGCAGTCCATCTCAAAGCAAAGAGTGAAGACTAAACATTTTCTCTTGTTTCATTTCTCAATGCCATTGCAGTGATTACATTTTTTATTTCTTTTGTAGCGCTCTTACTGGTTTGGGGATACACCTGCAGGAAAAAATAAAGAAAAGGAAATTTATAAGAGAGTTGAAAACAAGTATCTTGAAGTTGAACCTACTAATTTGGTGGCAGGTATCCAGATCAACCATCTGTACAAGGTATTGTTTCACATCTCTCTTTCTTGATTAGACTGAAATTTCATTTACAGTTCATTATACATATCTGTTATTGGAAATACCAAGGGAAAAGACCACATGCTAATTAAAGGTTATAGCCATCCTGTTTACCTCATTTGAGAAAGGTCAAAATCAAATTTACATAATAGAATTCCATCTTTCTCCTTTCTCCAGAATAGAATCAGGTTTTCTATAAATTGTAATGGTGTCTTCTACAAAAGCTTTCATTTTAAAAAGTAGAGTCTACTTGAATTTGATGGTTTGGCTATGTAGACATAAATTTCCTTTCACAAATGTTTTGCATTTATTTTTAATGTCCTCCATGCAGGCATTTATCAGAGTGGGATTCTTTTATTAAGATTAACTGCAGGAATGTAGTATTAAGGTAACCTATGTATTTTTTTTTTTAGATAATAAATTTTATTGTTATAGTCCCCATACAATTGCAGCCCCCCCATTCTGACCCCAATCCCTCCCCTCCCGCCCCCGCCCCCTAAAAGTGTCTCTGGTTCATAGTTTTTTGCTGATTTTGATTTTCACTTTCTTATAGTTATTCATTTTCCTGGTCCCTTATTTAAGTTTTCTAGATTCCTGCTATGAGTGAGACCATCCGGTATTTTTCTTTTTCTTTTTGGCTTATTTCACTGAGCATGATCCCTTCCAGCGCCATCCATGTTGCTGCAAATTGCATGTGTTTATCTTTTTTGAATGCTGAGTAATATTCCATGGTATATATGTACCCCATCTTCTTGATCCAGTCATCTATTTTTGGGCATTTGGGTTGTTTCCAAAGCTTAGCTATTGTAAACAGTGCTGCTATAAACATAGGGGTGCAGGTGTTCTTTGGAATTGATGTTTCTGTGTCCTTTGGGTAAATTCCTAGGAGTGGAATTGCTGGATCATATGGAAGCTCTATGTTTAGTAGGTCCAGAAATCTCCACACAGCTTTCCACAGTGGTTGGACCAGTTTGCACTCCCACCAACAGTGCAGAAGAGTTCCTTTTTCTCCACACCCTCGCCAACATTTGTTGTTGCTAGTTTTTTAATATGTGCCATTCTCACTGGTGTGAGATGGTATCTCATGGTAGTTTTGATTTGCATTTCCCTGATGACAAGTGATGTTGAACATTTTTTCATATGCCTGTTGGCCATTTGCATTTCCTCTTCTGAGAAGTTTCTTTTTAGCTCTTCTGCCCATTTTTTGACTGGATTATTTTCTTTGTTGTTGTTGAGTCTCATCAGCTCTTTGCAGATTTTTGTGATCAGTCCTTTATCATTAGTGTTGGGTGCAAAAATGTTCTCCCAGCTGGTGGGGTTTCTCTTTGTTTTTGTTATTGTCTCTTTTGCTGTGCAGAAGCTCTTTAATTTGATGTAGTCCCATCTATTTATCTTCGCCTTCACTATCACTGCTTTGGGTGATGTGTCTGTAAAGATGTCTTTGATGTGCAAATCACGTAGTGTTTCGCCTATATTTCCTTCTATATATTTTTATGGTTTCAGGTCTTATGTCTAGTTCTTTAATCCATTTTGAGTTGATTTTTGTGTATGGTGTGAGGTAGTGGTCAAGCTTCATTCTTTTGCATGTAGCGACCCAGTTTTCCCAGCACCATTTATTGAACAACTTTCTTTGCTCCAATGCATAGTCTTTGCTCCTTTGTCAAAGATAGTTGACCATAAATCTGTGGGTTTATTTCTGGATTTTCTATTCGATTCCATTGGTCTGTATGTCTGTTCTTGTTCCAATACCATGCAGTTTTGATGATATGGCTTTGTAGTAGAGTTTGAAGTCTGGGAGTGTGATGCCTCCATTCCTTTCTTTTTTTTTCAGGAGAGCTTTGGCTATTCGGGGTTTTTTGTGATTCCATATGAATTTCATCAATAATTGTTCTATTTCTTTGAAAATGACATTGAAATTTTGATTGGAATAGCATTGAATCTGTATATTGCTTTCGGAAGGATGGCCATTTTAATAATGTTTATTCTTCCAATCCATGAGCAGGGGATGTCTTCCATTTCTTTGTGTCTTCTTCTATTTCTTTTAACAGTGTTTTATAGTTTTCTTTGTATAGGTCCTTTACCTCTTTTGTTGGTTTATTCCAAAATATTTGATTTTTTTTTTTTGTTTCAATAACGAAAGGGATGGTTTTTTGATTTCTTCTTCTTCTTCAATTTGTTGTTTGTGTATAGGAAGGCTACTGACTTTTGCGTGTTGATTTTGTATCCTGCCACTTTACTGAACTGATTGATGAGTGAATTAGCTTTTCTGTGGAGTTTTTGGGTTCTCTATGTATAATATCATATCGTCTGCAATAGTGATAGTTTGACTTCTTCTTTTCCTATTTGGATTCCTTGGATGTCTTTCTCTTGTCTTATTGCCCTGGCTAGGACTTCCAGTATTATATTGAAAAAGCAGTGGTGAGAGGTGGACATCCTTGTCTTGTTCCAGATCTTAATGGAATTGCTTTCAGCTTTTCACCATTGAGAATGATTACTGGCTGTTGGCTTGTCATAGATGGCCTTTATGATGTTAAGGTATGTTCCTTGTATCCCAAGAATTTCAAGGGCTTTTATCATGAATGGGTGTTGCACTTTGTCGAAAGCTTTCTCAGCATCTATTGATATTATCATATGGTTTTTATATTTCTTTTTGTTGATGTGTTTGGATAACGTTGATTGATTTTCGGATGTTAAACATCCTTGTGTCCCTGGAATGAATCCTACTTGGTCGTGGT